TTTATCAGAAATAAGATTAATACAATTACTTATTTTATAAAAAATAAACAAAAAAAATTTGCAAGATTATGGCAATCGGACGTAGAAAGGAAATTATAATAATAATATACAGGAACTACGAAGCTTAGGTTTATTTATATTTTGTACAATTGTTTCTTAAATCTTAAGCAACAAGTCTAAATAGGGATCTTCTTGTTGATGCCCAGGATATTTCTTCTTGTATTTCAGCCCAGTTACCAAAGTAGAGCTTTTCGGGAACGCAGTTTTCCCATTGAACATCGTGTCCGTATCTGAAACGATTTTATATTAATTTGAAATATCATCGTTGTAATTAGCAGAATCTCGAGATTTACTTACCAGGATGATATCGCGTATAATCATAATTAACATGTAAATTCTTCGGTAAATCCATAGAGCGCATAACATCCAACGGGGTCACATTATTCACTGCTGTTTCGTAATATTCTTTCAAATCTCCTGCAATTACATCCAATACATAGAATATATATATGTGTGTGTATCACTATGGAATTCACGTAGATCTAGTAAAAACGACGATTAAAATTTTCCGTCGCACTCACCGACTGTTTCAATGCTATATAATACCGAATTCATTATCGGATGTTGAAATTCTTGTTCGCAAGCCAGGAAAATATTGAAGCGTTGCAACGAATCCTCCAGCTTCGCTTCATTGATACTCGGAATTTGGTGCGCGTCGCAGATTTTGTTTATTCGCTCGGACACATCTTTCGGTGGATCATAAGCTGTTTGATACCTCAAAAATCTGAAATAATTATTACTTTGAATTCCCCCTTCTTCGATACGAATATAAACTGTATATTCACATCGGCCTTGAAATCACTGTATATGATTCAATTAATTCGAAAATATCTCAGGTTCTATGTAATCTCAGGTGATTCACCTTGCTACTGTACATCGATATCAACCGCGTATCAATAACGTAAAAGATAGAAGCGTGTAAAAATGATTAAAAAATGTTTAATGAAATATCAGAAGAGCCTTGCAAAGACGACGACACTTTACAATATCGTGCTCAATAATTTTCCGATTGAACCATGCCGTTACATACATTCTACATGTTTGGGAAAAGGAAAGTAGTTGCAGCGTGTAAGCGGAAAGGACATTGTATGGCATCTAGAAATTCGTACATCTTCTGCTTCTCATTTTCATGTTCATTACATAATCAGTAAATTTTTGTAAAAAGAGACTGGCGATCGTACAACAAGGGAGGCTTCCCTTACATACAGAATGAGGGCAATATAGTATTTGGGGAAGGGGTAGGAGCGAGATCGATGTCCAACGACTGTACAGTGGTGCCCCCAGTTATATTTTCTTAGGATACAGTTATGGCTAATATCCAGCAGGAACGAAATAGAACGCGGCAAACCCCCGCGACTGGAATCATTTTTAATATCTCAGATATGGGAGACACGATTCGTATCAGAATAATCATCGCAATTTGCAATTACGTATTGTAATCAGTTTATACAAACAAATCGCTGACATATGTTCCCAAGCTTTTTACGTCGAACATTAAAATCAATTTTAACACGGGTATACAATGTTAATTAGAAAAAATATACAGGAAACATATGATTGTAATAGAAACGATTTATGATACAAGAATGTTTTATATATAAAAAACACAGATCCTATCGAGATGTTTTCTGGAGTGGAACGTTATGCAATAATCTGAATCGATTAATCACATTGATATCAAAAAGCCATTTGAATGAAAGCGACTAGAATTCCGAAACTGTCCCATCCGATACAGAAAACGTTCGCTGGTACAATTCTACAGATTATTGAATGTTATAAAGCTCGGGATTTTTTTAATTAATATCGATTGTTCTAGCTGACGTATTTTGTAACGATAACACACGTACATACATTTTAAGTTCCAATACTAGACGTACGTATATGTAATCCATGGTTATTATTGAATATGTTGATTAATTATTTTTCATATACGTAAAAAGCATGTACGTATTTCTATACATTGGAATATTATTCACAAAACTGAAGGCTGGGAATGTACGTATCGTTCTTCGGGTAACGTTTAACATGGAATTATTCTATTGGTTTAATAACGTTCGTATATAATAAATAATTCGCGACGTTATCTTTATTTAGTCATTCGCGTCTATCAACGACTCGATGGCAGGAAAGAAAAAATTGAGGAGAATAAAGGGTGCCAGGTGGGCACGCGTCTGCCCTGAGAAGCTGTCAAATTCAACGGTTGATTGGTCGCCGCGAGGAGAGGAGGTGGCAAACGGTAAGATGGCCGTAGTGTGTTCCCTGCCAGCTAGACAGCAGCGCGACGTAACGCGAATATTTCGATTAAACTGGTGCGTGTACTGTGAAAAATCGCTTACCCCTTGCAAGTGAGGGACCGTTTCTCGTTCTCGAACGTGTGTTTCGCCGTGACTGGCCTCTTCTGCGGTCTCTTGCTCTTGAAACGTGTTACATCGTATCGTAGGCTCGTCTGTAAAATGACGATGTTCTCGTTAGTGCCCGGAGTGTCTCAAGTCGAAACGGTTTCCAGTTGCAAGTGAAAAGTGTCTGGCATGTAACGACGATGAAAAGGTGTGTGTGGAGTTTTCGCACTGACCGTGTTCACAGCGAGGATAGCGGTGGAACATTTTAAAGCATTCACAAGCGAACCATGCCCGATGAGCGCCGCCATCTTCTACCCCGTCGTCGAAGCGGACTGCGCGAGTGAGCAATAGGAGGCGCCTCGGGCGGCTGCGCTTGTTGTTTCCCATCGTCCGCCATTTTACGGTCGCCATTGAGAAGTGAAAACCCTCCTAAATGTTCTCGAATAATAGCGGCCTCGCCGTGTGATTTTTGGTGCTGAGAGAGGCGCGCCGTCGCGAGAAGTGTTGCTAATGAATGTACGGCGTACGATGGAGAAGCCATGACGCATCCGTCGCATCAAACGAACGGCGCTAGCCTGGAGGACTGCCACACGAATTTCTTCGCGCTGGTGAGTGATCAGTGAGAGCCCACTTATTCAGTAGAGAATTTGACCTGCATATACATTTGCCGCCCGCGAATTTCGACGTTCGCGAATCGGACGGACGGGTTCGTTCTCGATTTACGAGACGGCCGATTGCTTTCAACGACTCCAGATCCGATCGTTTAACGGTACCGTGCGACGTCGCGAGTAGAAGCTCCCCGGGTTAACCTATATATCGTAGAATTCCCGTGGGCAGTACTCGATCGTTCGTTGTCGACGTCGGTGTTGTGTATCGCGACGTTCCCCTCTCCCTGTCCATTCCCTACCCTCCCTATCTCTCTCTCTCTCTTTTCCCTCCCTCCCCCTCGTCTTCGCGACCACCGTTGCCTGTATACCACGTATATATGTAAATATATATACATACTCGCGTACCTAGATGCATACATATACCCTACATACGTGTCCATATAACTACATAAACAGATATATAATATATATGTACATATAGGAACGTGAAGTGTCTGCGTGTGTACGTGCGTGCGTGCGCTCGCGTCAGTGGGATTTGAAGTTTATGCGACCCAATGTCATGCTTGATTCATGTCGGCCCTGAGTTTTCCACTCGCGAGAGAGTTAAAGAGGTTGCGGCAGGGCTGACCGACGACGTCCACGACGATGTCTATCGGTGCGATCGCAGTAAAATATATTCCTCGTCGCTGTTTATACGGAATTTACGTGGCCGGCGGTGTGAGCTCTATTAATGATTCCCTCGGCGAACTTGCGGCCGCGTTAAGAACGCGTTTTCGTCCCGGTTCTCTCTGTTTTCCCCGCGCGGTGAGAGAGATAACGAGATCGTCTCTCGTAACATTCCTTTCGCCTTTCAACGGAGCCAGAAAACTGTGTCAGACATTGTTTGCACCGGTCGAAAGTTCTCGTCTACGTCGATCGGACCCAATCCGGCGAATCGAGGAACTCCTTATTCGTTCAAGCCCTGATGAACCACGGAATCTGCTTACATTTCGCGTGCACGCTAGTTCTATCTCTGCGCAGGAGATTTTAAAAATACACGAGAGCTTGTGTGTCGTTCGAGTTTCGTAGTGCAACACGGTTTCCCTCTCTTCGGAATATCTCTCCAAGTATTTAAAAGTACTCGATGTACTTACGGAGTGATTAAACCGTAACCGTGAGACGTAATCGGATGCGATTAAGCTTGGCTTACGCACGACGATATTTCGTATCGAAATCCTGATTTTCACTACTTAACAATAACTTCGTGTTTACGCGTTTGGCTTCAGAATGAAACAACGCAAGCTGGTGAATTAGGTCCTATCAGTTTTGCAGGGAGTTCAGTGCACTTTATTTCCCTCTGTAGACATTAAATTCATTGCTATGTTTATATTGATTCTTACATTAGAAGTATTTCGTAAACAGATAGTAAAAGGATTTCATGTTGAAATTAGGAAAAGGGAAACAGAAACATTAAAGTACAAGTGATTTTTCATTCAGTACTATACAATTATTGCACTTACGCTGTCAATAATTGTTTGTAATTATATCACAGTAGATTAAGTCGTGGATGTCGTCATTTTATTATTATTATGAAACTTAAATTAAGTACCAAATTGAACTCAGATCTAGTGAAAACTACAAGATTATTATTTTGTGGGTTTCAAAATCAGAACACGCCATGACGAGGTAAAATCATTTACAAACAACTGCAGTGGTAATTAATTGTGAGAATAACTGTATTTTGTAAATGGATTTTCAAAGCCTCCTCTCTGAGGTTTGTGTACATGTAATTACTTATAAGTATAACAGCGAGACATTTTTCGGTTAGATTCGTCTTGCACTGCATTCCTTGGGATAATCAGAACATCTACATTTCAATAAACCTTCGTTCCTGCGTTGTCAGCTTAGCTTCTTCTTGTTTCTCTGCCTGGATAGTAATTAACTCTACCCATTGCCTGGAAAATGTTCTATTTAATCATATGCAGTTGTATTTATTCAAGGATTTCGAAAGCTTATTTTTATCTACATTTTTCTATATTGGAATTAAAGAAAGTGAGAGAGAAACTCTTTCGGTTCAGTTCTTTGCAGATTTCCCTGATGTGATTCGCTTATGTTGAGGACTGCCCCCACTGTTACGCATGAATTCAGTTAAAGAAATTTCTATATTCCATGTTAAATCGAATAGTTGTACTTGTTTATCCAGGTACTAATTAATTTCTTCTATAGTTTATAGTGAAAACCGTTAACGTTCGTCAATCGAATAATTGAAATGGAAAAGGCCTTGAGACAGGTTCCAAAAAGAAAATAACTCGCAGGTACTTTTTGTGCACAGGTTTATAGTTACGTTGTATTCGTGGTAAAATACAAGTTGCAGGTAGGAGGCGAGGTAGGAGCAATGCTCGGCCACAGTGGTTCTCACTATTCCTAATACGTGTGGAAACAAGCTTAGGAAACGAGTAGTTGAACAGTTTTCAAGTCTAGACAAATAAAACTATTCATTTTTCTAATAATTATGACACATTCATCATGTCTGTTTTACAGGGATTTATTATACAGTCGATGGAACTTCTCTGGTGTGTTTATAAATCATGCGAACGACATAGAAGAATTCTGATTTGTAAATTCGTTGCAATTTTCAATCGCAATGACGCTGCACCAATTTCATTTCATTTCTAAAATACGGAACACCTCATTAAGACACGATAGACACGAAGCTGTATCTTCACATGAATCTAATTTTATCAATATTTATTTAATTCGACCTGTGGAAACTAATAATAAATAGAATAGCCGCCTTATTCAACGTGAGACAAAAAATCGAGCACTCTGTACAAACGCTCTTGTAGTCTTGATACGTCACGTCTTTGCGTTGCAAGGCTTTCACCTAGGCCTGGTCAAGCCCCCTTCGGCTCTTCTCCTATTTCTCTTCTACGGAGCACCAGTTTCAGTATAACCGAACCATGCGACTTTGTCGAGAAACGAAGCCGCGTACTTCGCTCCTACCTGGTTTCCTAGGTAGTTGACGATTGTACGTTTCGTTTCAAGACACACCAAGACTACCGCGGTTATAGTTATTTCAGGAATTAGCTTAATTGTTTCCATAGATAGGAGTACTAGAAATTCATATAAAAAGGAAGCAGCAGAGACCGAATTACTGCTTTGAGTATTATCTGTGTTCCAACAAACATAATCCTGTTGGCGTTCTGCTTTAATCGTGTTTGCTAACAGATTTCTACTGCTTGTAAGCATCAGTCTCTTTCCTAATATTTTGTAATACCCACTTTGATTCAGTCACTCATTATTATTATTAGTACGTTTACTGGCTTATACCCCGCACCTGTGCATATGTATAAAGTGATACTCTGTGCAACCAAAGACAGTAGCCTGTTTTCCTGTTTATAGATATTAACACATGATTCGTCTTTTCCTATTCTTGAATAATCCTCATCCCGAATTGGGATTGCTGTTTAGGTGGTGGTATCGTTTCTGAATCCAAAGAATCTTTAAGGTCAGAACCCAGGAATCATTAGTAATTGATTGATTGTTTTTCAACTATTATCTTAAAGCATTTAGTGTGAAAGCAGTACGACAGTAATGGGACATAAAAATACTTATTATTATCGTGATAAGGATTTTAATTCATGAGACTTTCTAATGAATAATAATTTGAATTTGAACAATGGGCATTTTTTGAACGATTGAGAACCAGCGCCATGGAGCATCTTCTGGTGGTGAGGCTGGCGGTGGTGCCTCTAGTCTGTCGGTCGGAGCTTTGAATTTTTATGCGACTTCGTGTATACATATATGCGGCTGGCAGCGCGCCGATGTTCACCCACGCTGCAGCAATCCTTCCGCCTCGTCTCGCCAAGGCGCATGCGAATCGTTCAAAGCCCCTTATGGCTCCTCTGAGTGCAGCGCGACTGCCCGCGAGACCGCACAATATGCATTTCGAAACCAGCCGGTGTTCCACTCTCACGGTTTCGAGATTTCTCAAAACTCGTTCCTTCCGAAAACGAAACTTCGACACGTCGTACGTGTTTCTCGCGAATGATTCTGTGTGAGGAGACGGCGGAGGAGTAAGGTCTGTGAAAATATTTTTATCCGTCGAGTAAACCACGTGCAGATTAATTTATAACATGTATTTTATTTTGAGGTGTTCACGGAGCGTCAGATTAGAGATACACCGAGGAGTATTAGTCACGACACGGAGAGGATGCATAAATCGTTTGAAAATGTAGATTGGAAATTGGAGTTCTTATCAGGAATTCGTAAATGTGCTGAAAGCTGCACCGAGTGGATCCAGTTTTTATACTAGACGATTATACCGTGTCCAAATTGTCTAAGAGCATCTTTTTCAAATGTCGATAATTGGACAGCGTCGTGTACGCCAGAAATAAACTGATGAAGATAGCAAAGCGATGTGCTAGACGTACCCACGGATTGAATCTACGCGGGTAAGTCTGGCACGTCGGTTTGCTTGTATTGATCAGCAAGCTTGACAGCCCCGTACTATTACGATGGGCGCCTTTCCTCACCGATTACACATTTTGTCACGCCAGGCAAACGCGATAGGCGCCACCGCATGTCGTCCTCAAATCGATCCTCGTCTTCCTCTTTTTCAATTATTTACGTCCACGCGAAACGTCGTCTATTTCCCTCGAAGTTCCGAGGCGTCGGTCTTACATCTCTCAATTTTATTCTCATTTCACCAGTCGCATATATTGAAAATCGAGTGAAATGTTTCTTATCACATGTCGAGTTGATCTGTTTTTTTTTTTTTTTACTTGACGCACGTGCTCCTACGTTATCCAATTATGTTGCGTGACAAATGAGAATAAAATGCAGCGAAAGTTCAAGGACCGACCTTCCCCAACAGCCGACTGATCTTCGATATATGTACGTGGCCTCCGCAAACCTTCACCTTAACTTTGACTCGTCACCGTTAATTAGGAGAGTTTGCGTAAAGGTTTCAAATATAATTTCTACATTCGATTATTCTTAATTTTCAATTAGTCTTCTGAGAATTATTAAAAGTACGCGATTTGCACGTACGATGTAATTTTTAATCAGTTTCATGGAATCAATTTTCCATAAACTGTTTTGTATGAACGCTGTTATACGACTGTTCCTCAGTGGAACAAGACATTAACTCCCGACACCATCGCGAAGAACGATGATAATTTTCTGAACTATATTAAACGGTGGGGCTGGTTGTTTTAGACGGACCTCTGTGGCATCAAATGGAAGAAGCTCGTATGGGGCGAGGTGGCCGGCGATTTCGGGGGCACGCCCCTGGAAGACCCGGTGCTGTCGAGTTTCTCACGATGCCTCGCGGGTGACATCCTCTGCGTGTGGCGACGGGTCGCCGCTACGCCGGCCACTTCCGGCCCGGCGACCACCTCGGCAACCGGAGCCGGCATCTTCGACTTGGGCATCGCACCATCGCCCGCGCCACCGCCCCTCTCCCTCACCGCCGCGAAGGAACTCTGGATCTTCTGGTACGGCGAGGAACCCGATCTCTCCGGCCTCGTGTCGCCGGAACTCATCGCGTGCGGTGAGTAATCAACCTCTAGTTTCACCAGAAACTATCCACGCTCTTACAATCGTAAGTTTCAGTGTCCTACAGCAATTGGTATCAATTCAACAAATGATATTTAGTAACGATGTCCTTTGAACATCCTCCTATGCAGTTTGCTGTTGATCATTTCTGCTCACCGCTACGTCTATTTTTTATGGTTTTCACATACACAGTTTTGCTATAAATGCACTCTAGTAAAACCTGTTGAATAGTACAAACGGATATTGATTAAGGATGTATTGGCTTCAAATAAAAGTTGTTTCCCTTCTAACTTCGATATTTAACGAGTTACGTATGATTATTTGGCATTTTATTGATGTTGACAAAATCCGACCATCCCAGCGTCGAAACGGCGAACTTTTGGCAAAAAATTTCATTTTTTCTTAATTACTCCTAAACCGTTGAATCTACGGGAAAATTGTATAGGACCTTTCTTGTAGAGGACGACGAGATCTACAATTTCTGTATAAAAAGTTTTCGCTAGCGTTAATAGTTTACGAGTTATTGACGAAAAACGAAAAAACAGTTTTTTGCGAATTACTCGTTAACTATCAAAGCTAGCAAGAAACTTTTATATGGAAATTGTAGATCTCATCGTCCTCTTCAAGAAAGGTCCTATGCAATTTTTCCGTATCTCCAACGGTTTGGAAGTTATTGGCAAAAAACGAAAATTTGGAAGAAATTGAAGGGGTACCCCTTGGAAAAATCTCGGAAAAATAAAAAAATTTTTTGT